CTCCCCAAAGCGGGACCAGAGCAGATCCCCAGACTCTGATCTGTCTCCTCCACGGCGGACGCTGACGGGAAAAGATGGGCACAGGTCAAGGAGTCCCCCTGACCTCTCTCCTCATCGTCCCAGCGACACGAGGGGATCGCCCAAAAAGGTAAATGTTTCACCTTCCTCTTCAACCTGCTTCCTGTCGTCGACGGAAAAGTGCAAAAGCCTGATGACTCTCAAGCTGCAGAGTAGAAATGTCCCATACCTTGTGTATGGAGCTGTGCCAGACCCTCTGCTTGCAGCAGGAGGTGAGGGGAGAGGAACTCTGCCCCAGGCAGCTCCCTTGCTGCAGTTCTGGGGAGGTCGTTGGCGAGGGTGCCAGCACAGTGGGTTTGTGACCTGGCTGTGCATGCTGACACGTCTCTCCTGGTCCTGGGATATCCCCTCCTTTGCCTCTGGATCGCTGGGCATCTCTTGGCTGCAGGAGATGTGATTTTTGCTGGATTTGCAGGCGAACGTGGTGGTATCGGGGGTCAAAGCTGGCTTGGTGTCAGCCGACGTGCTGCGGAAGGAAAAGCAGGAGCTGAGGAGGCAAGAAAGGAGTAACAAGCAATTGGAAGGTAAGGGTGGGAAAGGATGGCAGGGGCATCAGCTGGCTTTGCCCTCGCTGTGTTCGACTGCCTGGTGGTGCAGAGCACCCCTGCAGAGCAGCGCCTAGGCGTGCTGCAGGATTCCCAGCACAGGCTCACGGTGCCTCTGAAAGAAAAGACTATCTGATAAACAAGAGATGTCAGTATACTTGTAGTGAGGGGAGAGGTGTCTTCTCCTTCTGCAAGTCTGAACTTAGAGTCTGATACTTGGAGAGCTCAGTGTGCATGCGTGGCCATGCGGGGCAGCAGCTAACAGCGGGAGCTGCGGTCCTGCCTGCTTTTGAATGATGGGTTCTTTCAAAAGCTCCTTTCAAAGAAAGGAATGTGGAAACAAGCCACTGAACTGTCTGAGACAGCAAAGTGTTCCAAAACACGTGACTTGATGCATCTGCTCCCTCAGAGGAGTCCCGACACTCCAAGACCGTCTTCCGAGACAAGTCTGGGCGCAGGAGGGACCTGGCGCAGGAGCAGCTGGAGCAGCAGCAGCGAGCCGCGGCCGAGGCCGAGCGAGACGAGCAGTATGCCCGCTGGGGCAGGGGGTAAGGGCCAAGGGCTCCCTCTCCTGTGTGCCCCGGGGCCTCGCCTGGCAGCTCTTCAGCCCACCTGGCTCCTTGCTCTTAGCCCGGTTCTGGCACTGCTTCCAGCAGTGGCGTCGGTGCATAGTCACTTGGCTCCGAGCTGGAGCCTGGGGCTGGCCGAGCACGTGCTCCACGTGTCTCAGAGACCCCCTGGGTTGTCCCTGCCACCACTGGCTGTGCCGTGGGAGCACTGTGCACGTGGTGGAGGTTCCAGGCTGCAACCAGTGCTGTCATGGGAGCAGCTTACAGGGAGCGGTTGTGTGGTGTCACAGTGAATGCTTGGGTCTGCTTCCAGGCTGGCGCAGGGCAGGCAACAGCAGCAGAACGTGGAAGATGCAATAAAGGAGATGCAGAAGCCCTTGGCTCGTTACATTGACGACCAGGATCTGGATCAAATGCTGCGGGAACGAGAGAGAGAAGGGGACCCCATGGCTGACTTCATCAAAAAACGGAAGGCCAAAGAGAGCAAAGAAAAGAAAGGTTTGGATGCTGACTGATGCCTGTGTGTGGTTTAAGGCTGAAAAGCAGCTGCTGTTAAAGCCCAAGGCCGCTCGGCCCAAGACAGGCCTTGCCTGGTGTTGGGGTGGCAGCAGTGCTTGCTGCCACGGCCTGGCACCAGCAACAGCTGCTGCTGGGGTTAGTCTGGAGAGCAGAACCTGGGCTCCACAGGCTCCAGGTCGTGGATGTGTATTCTCAGGGCTTTGCCCCATGGCACCCTGAGCACTGTGCCCCAGTGTCCGGCTGGGGCTGGTGGCAAGGGGCCTGCACTGACCAAGCACTGACCAGCTTTGTCACTCTTTCTGTTCCTAGAAAAGCCTCGGTACAAGGGACCAGCACCCCCGCTCAACAGGTTTAACATACAGCCCGGGCATCGCTGGGATGGTGTGGACAGGTACAGGTTCTGGAGTCGCTGGGGGGTCAGATAACAGCACAAATAAAGGAGCTTTGGCTGTGCAGAGCGCAAGCGTGAAGCTGCCAGGCTCTTGGGCAGTGAGCTTGTGGATGCTGGTAATGCTGAACACGCTGGGTACGGGGGGGGGATGAGCGTGAGCGTGTCTGGGACAGCAGGGAGTGAGGCTGGCACTGCTGGCGTGCACAGCGTCCCAGATGCTGGCTTGCTAACTGCAGGTGGAGGGGCAGCTCAGCCAGAGCAGTGCAAAACTCGTGGTGCCTGTAGAAAGCACCACTGCTTCAGAAAGGCTGCTGTGCAGCACCCCACGGTCCCGGTATCGCGTTGTAGGTCCAACGGGTTCGAGCAGCGGCTCTTTGAGAGGCGGCTGGCACTGCTGGCGTGCACAGCGTCCCAGATGCTGGCTTGCTAACTGCAGGTGGAGGGGCAGCTCAGCCAGAGCAGTGCAAAACTCGTGGTGCCTGTAGAAAGCACCACTGCTTCAGAAAGGCTGCTGTGCAGCACCCCACGGTCCCGGTATCGCGTTGTAGGTCCAACGGGTTCGAGCAGCGGCTCTTTGAGAGGCTCGCCAACAAGAAGGCGATGCAGGAGGTGATGTACAAGTGGAGCGTGGAGGACATGTAGAGGAGCTGAAGGACCTCGCCGAGAGCGCCCGGGACGGAC